GGGTGGGTTTTTGGGGGTCCCGGGTGGATTTTGGGGGTCCCGGGTGGATTTTGGGGGGTCTGACCCCCTCTCCCCGCAGGTGATTTGCTGCGAGGGCAACGCCGGCTTCTACGAGGTCGGGTGTCTGAGCACCCCCCTGGAGGGTACGGGGACCCCAAAAATCACCCCAAAACTGACCCCGGGACCCCAAAACTCACCCCAAAAGTGTCCCCAAAACTGACCCTGAGAATGACCCCAAAACTGACCCCAGGACCCCAAAACTCACCCCAAAACTGTCCCCAAAACTGACCCCAAAACTCATTCCAGAACTGACCCCAAAACTCACCCCAAAACTGACCCCGGGACCCCAAAAATGACCCCAAAACTGACCCTTGGAATGACCCCAAAACTGACCCCGGGACCCCAAAACTGACCCTGAGAATGACCCCAAAACTGACCCCGGGACCCCAAAACTCACCCCAAAACTGTCCCCAAAACTGACCCCAAAACTCATCCCAAAACTGACCCCAGGACCCCAAAACTCACCCCAAAACTGACCCTGAGATTGACCCCAAAACTGACCCCGGGACCCCAAAAATGACCCCAAAACTGACCCTTGGAATGACCCCAAAAATGACCCCGGGACCCCAAAACTCACCCCAAAACTGACCCTGAGAATGACCCCAAAAATGACCCCAAAAAAGACCCCAAAAGTGACCCCAAAAGTGACCCCGGGACCCTAAAAGATTTTGGGTGGGGTTTGAGGGATTTTGGGTTGGATTTTAGGGGGTTTTGAGTCAGATTTGAGGATTTTGGGTGGGATTTGAGGGATTTTGAATTTTGGAGTGGGTTTGGTTGCATTTTGGGGTTATTGGTCAGATTTGGGGGGACTTGGATTTGGGTAGGATTTTGGGGTTTTTGGGTCATATTTTGGGTGGGATTTGTGGGATTTTGGGGTTTTTGGGTTGGATATTGGGGCATTTGGGATTGGATTTTGGGTTGGATATTGGGCGGGATTTGGGAGGTTTTGGGCTGGGTTTTGGGTTGGATTTTGGAGGATTTGGATTTTGGGGTGTTTTGGGTCCGATTTGGGGGTTGGGTTGAATTTGGGAGATTTTGGTTTGGATTTTGGGTGGGATTTTGGAGGTTTTGGGTTGGATTTTGGGTGGGATTTTGGAGGTTTTGGGTTGGATTCTGGGTTGGATTTTGGGGGGGGGGTTGGGTTGAATTTGGGAGATTTTGGTTTGGATTTTGGGGGGTTTGGGATTGGATTTTGGGCGGGATTTTGGGTGGGATTTGGGAGGTTTTGTGGTGGATTTTGGGCTGTTTTGGGTTGGATTTGGGCAGTTTTGGGTCAGATTTTGGGGTTTTTTGAGTCTCGCTCAGATCTGCAGGTTTTGGGGGGGTCATTGCTGGTCCCCCCCCCATTTTTGGGGTCCCAGAGTGACCCCCCCGTGTCCCCCCCCCCAGCCGGGTACTCGGTCCTGGGCTGGAACCACCCCGGCTTCGGCGGCAGCACCGTGAGTGGGGGGCCGGGG